CCAGCCATTCAGAAAAAGACATTTTGGCTCACTCAGAGTTAACATGCCAACAGTGCCTTACCATGCTTTCTGAGTGAACCAAGTTGCCCTTGCTATGTCAGCAGTCACCAGACTGGATGAAGCTCACTGGGAGCATTCTTCTATTTATGACTGATGAAGACCAGGCACTTGAACTGGACACTATCAAGATTAATTGCATTTCTCTTATCTTGTTGTTTTATGGCCCTCTCTTGTTATGACACTCTCATATTTTGTGACATCCTCTTGTTTGTGGCTGACAGAAACCAGACATCCTTCGGGTACTCTCTTGTTCTATGGAAAATTTAATTTTGGCTGACACAGGCATCCTGAGTCAGCACTTCCTTACTCTATGGGTATATAATCCCCTTCAACTAACCTTTCTTTGAGCTCATCCTGCTTCAGCTCCCATACATGTATGATTCTGCTAGCTTATAGAAAATAAACACCACATACACAGCCTAATTTTGTTTGTCTCTTTTTAGACCAAACACTGAAGGTTGACACCCTCTAGGTTTTCTTTTGTTCTGTACTGTATACTTTTTATAAAAAAATTTTTTCTTCCTCCTTTCCCATCCTCCCACCTCCCATGGGTCTTTTTTTTTTTTTAACAAACCCTTGATTAAAGAGCCAGGAAATACACCAAAAAGAGAGAGGAGTTTAGGAAATTTGAGAGACCTACCCAGGCCAAACTGCTGAGTCAAACCCAGATTGGAACACAAGGGGTCCCTGCTACTACCAGGTTTCTGAGGTTGAAAACAGCAGCCTTCAAACTCTGCTTCCTGATAGCAGATACGTCAACCTGAAATAAGGAAGACTACCAAAGGAGCAAAAACTAGGATCTTTATTAGAGACAAGGGAATTGCAATTCAGTATTATCACACAGCACCAGGGAACTGGAGTGCCCAAGAGGGGCAGGGGGTATAGGGTTAAATACATTTCAACTGGGAGAGAGTCTCTTAGGAGGCACAACCTTAGGAAGCTGTTACGTAAGTTATTTTGCATAACAATCAAAAGGCCGTGGAGAACGTTAGGAAAGCTGGTGGGAGGAGTGGCATCTGGCCAGAATTGCATGCTCAGGCTCCCTGTGTAGCAATGGGCGAAACCAGTCTGGACCTGCTTCAATCCTGAGGGCAGTTGGGATCAAAGTCAGGTAGCCCCTTTTGATGTCTGCATTCAACATTCTTATTTAAACTGGTCTAATATTCCTCTTTTAACGAGTTTCAATTGTCCTCAGGCAATTCATAGCTCCAGGGTCAAGCAGAGCCAGCAGCATTCAACAATTGGTTGAAAAGATTTTGGAGGGATGATAGCTGTCTCCAAGTATTAAAAGGATAAAATGGGAGAGGGACTAGATTTTCTCTACTTTGCTTCAGGAGTCAGAACTGGTAAACTTAGTTGAATGAGTAAAGAGGCAGATTAGGGCTCAATATAAGGAAAAACTTGTTAATAAGAACTCCCTACAAGTGAAATTGACCACTTGAGGGGCTAGGGAGTTCCTTGTTTCTGGAATTCTTCAGGCTGAACAAAACCCTCAAACATGATTGAACTGGGATGGCTTCCAACTCGGAGCATCAATGATTTGGTGATTCAAATTGCCAACATTCAGAGATCACAGTATTAAAGACTCTTTACCTGTTTATGAGCCCTTCCTCCCTGCTGTTACATGAGGTGTGTTAGCATTGGAAATGAGGAATTATGTCGGCATTCTAGATACAAATGAATGGGGTTTTCCCTTCTCAAAGGAAAGCCTCCTGGAGATCTTCATTTTGAAGTTGGGCCTTCAGTAGTTAGATTATAAATGCTCTTCTTTGCCATGGTCTTTGCAATTTCTAACTGCTGAAGCCATGGTTTTTCTTTAAACGCACTGCAAGAAAATAAACAATTTATCATGAAACCTATTCTTTCCTTGTTTAGATGTGGATATGAGAGACACCCATCAGTCGGGTTTTGGAGTGCTGGGACCCCAAGATCGCAGTACCGGGCCCTGCTGAATGAATTCAACTCAAATCTTCTTCAGCCAGAGGAAAAGTTTATTAGTGATAAATCACAGAGGCCAGGTGACGCCCATAAGGACAGGCGGGCATGAGAAAGGCTAGGCCTTTTGGGGCACGAGAGATTCTCAGCTAGGTGACGCCCGTAAAGACGAGCGGGCATGAGAGGTTCTCAGCCTTGTGGGCCTGAGATTCTCAGAATCTGAATGAGGGCCAAGGTGGATCTTAAATACTAAAGTAATTTTGGGTGGCCAGAGAAGGGGGTTGGGAAAAGGGTCTAGGTAAGAATTCTAATTGAGGTCAGAGAGATTGAATAGACAATGGAAATAGATAATGGAGGGAACAGGAAGGCAGAAGTTTGAAAGGCATCTGCACAAAATCAAGGTGGGGCTAGGACTTTCCAAAGGAGATAAAGGAAGGCCTTTCTGGGGCCTATAGACTAGAGGGAGCCTAAGGCTTTCAAAGGGATATGAGGGGAGTCGATTAGGAAATTTGAAGGTTTAAGGGTTTTTCTGGGTCCTGTAGACAAACAGGAGCCAGATTCTATTCAGGGCAAGGGTTGAAGGTGCATCTGAATAAGATCTAAAGGTAAGCTAGGGCTTTCAAGGGAGATGAGGGTCTGGGGCCTGTGAGTCAGATTCCCTTTGGGGCAAAGGGTGAAGATCTTGGCTTGGGCCCCACCCCTATCAGATATGAGAGACACCCATCAGTCTATAGTTTTAGCTGTCCATTAGTCTAACCTTTCCAACCAGAGATTGCACGTCAGATCTGCACACAAAGTCTGGAAAGAACCTGGGGTCTTTCTCATATCAGTTGTTAAATTTGTAAATATGTAGTTCTTAAGAGAGGCAGTGAGGATAATGGCAATGCCACTACTCTGAACTCAAATCCGAGGAAAGAAACCAAGTCAGTAGAATGTGGAATCTTCAGCAGTTAAAACTGTTCATGTTCTCTCATTTTCATTTAACTCAACAGCAGCACACATGTAACTGTCTTTGCTGCCCTCGGGAAGTCATGTTTTTTCCCCAGCTTGAAAAGAAAGAAAGCTAATTTGAGATAAATACGAGAAGGCAAGATTTCTCCCTGTACAGTGGGAGTTTTGAAGATCTCTTGAGAGAAAAGAGAACAGAGAAGATTGAGGTGAGATGGAGCCCCAATACATGGAGCAGCAGCGTGACCAGTGGTAGCAGCATCTGCTGTCCCTTTTTCAAACCCAACCCTCCATGTGGAAGACCTTGAGAGGTGACCTCTAAAAGGACAAGCAGAGAGGCATATGATTGAATTCTTTACTTTTATTTTTGGCAGGCATTTGTTCTTTTGCTGTCAGCGGAGCACTGAGAGGAAAATTAGACATGAAAAACTGGCAGTCCTCAACCCTGCTGCTGTGGATACAAATGGTACCTGAGGAGTTAAAAGAATATTAAGGGTTGTTTTTTCCAGTACTTTGTGAAGCCCCTCCTGAGGGGTGGTCATTCTGTACCTCATCCTGTAACTTCAGAACATCCTAAAGTCCTTTTCCCCTTATCTTGAAATACCATAAAACTCCTTAACCTGTGTCACCCTTGGCCTGTGTTCCCCCTTATCCTTGATCTTTTTTTTTTAAGGCAATTGGGGTTAAGTGGACTTGCCCAAGGTCACACAGCTAGTGTCAAGTGTTTGGTCTGAGGCCAGATTTGAACTCAGGTCCTCCTGACTTCAGGGCCGGTGCTCTATCCACTGCGCCACCTAGCTGCCCCTTATCCTTGATCTTTAACCAACCATAAAACCCTAAAAACCTTCCTGTCCTTAATCTTTAACCATCATAAGACCCTAAAAATCTACAGGCTGTATAGCTTTTTGTCTACATTAGCCTAGGCCCCCCAACAATCAGTAACTTTTTTTCAGCCTTGTAGCTACAGTAAAAGGTCCACGTGTGCTTTTAATACAAATAAAAGCAGCTCTTGCTGGCTAAGAGAAAGTCGTCTAAGTGAAATCCTTACACTGGTACCGCTCTTCCAAATCTGACCTCAACACTGACTTACTTCATCTGGGTATGGCTGGCACCTGTTTCTAATTGACTCATTTTAAAAATTTTGTTAAAGACTGAATTTGGTGGATCTAATGTTCTTTCTTTCTTTCTTTCTTTCTTTCTTTTTTTTTAATGAGACAATTGGGGTTAAGTGACCTGCCCAGAGTCACACAGCTAGTGAGTGTTATGTGTCTGAGGCTGGACTTGACCTCAGGTCCTCTTGACTCCAAGGCCGGTGCTCTATCCACTGTGCCGCCTAACTGCCCTCTAATGTTATTTCTTATAAATATTTGTGGCTGGTCCTATTTTTATGTTTCTTGATGTCATGAGCAGCTCGAGGGCTTGGGATGGTTCTGGGAGTCACAAAGAATAGAGTGACCCTTCCTAGTGCAGGGCTGGGATCTCCCCCTGAAGACCTTCCTGAAAACGTCTATTGGTAAAATAATCATCTTTTGTTTCTTGTTTTTCATCGTGAATCTCAGGATAAATAATTTTAAAATTCATCATCCAACTGTTGTTAGAGCTTTTTGTTTAGTGTCCTAAAAGGTCATTAAAAAAAAATTCTACTCACAGGTACCTCAATAGAGGACAAAGACTTAGGCTACCCACAGCAAAAGCACTAGATCTGGATCAGGAAATGTTTTTATTTTTTGTCTTTGTATCACCAGCACCTCCCACAGTGCTTGCATGCACATTTAATTGATTCTTGTTGAATTGAATTGAATTAAATTGGCATCCCTAGATTTGAATAATGCTTGTGCTACTTAGTTGAATAGCCTGGGATAAGTCACTGAAATGTCTTTGAGCCTCAGTTTTTTCATCTGTAGAACAAAGTCTGGAGTAGAACATCATCTTTAAAATCCTTTCAACTCTGCAGCTTGTGACCCAATGAATTGCTAATGTCACTAGGTTGGCTCCAAACTTTCTCCAGTAGATATCCAAATCACCACCACTAGGTGGCAGCAACCTGCCGCAACCTGCCAAATAGTAAGAAAGGAGCAGGGGCTCAAAAAATAAAATGTTTGTGATAAAATTCGTGTACAGAATGTCATAGCATGGTAGTTACACGACCCTGGAAAGACAGAATCATGGGGTGTCACCAATGGGTGTGGGTGTTTATGAGAATGCGTGTGCCAGAAGCATCTGGTTCAAGTAAGTTTGCTTATCGCCAGATACTATCACTTCCATCCAGTTTTCTCATCCGGTCCCATTTTTATCTCCAAGAGCTTCACCTCACTATTTTGCTTAATTCATTTTGACTCACATTATTACTCAATTACTTACCTATTTGCTTCCATTTTCATCATTGTCCAATTACTTATGCCAGGAGTTGACAAACCACAGCCCCTTTATATCTTGTTTTATATGGCCCCTCAAGCTAAGAATAGTTTTTACATTTTAAAATACAATAAAAACTTTATTTAGAAATGTAAAAACCTTCTTAGTTTTCAGGCTATACAAAAGCAGGCAGCTTCTGGATTATTTGGCCCAGGATTACAGTTTGCTGCCTCCAGACCTATGCTTTTAAAATACATTTTCTTTCCCCTATTTTTCAAATTCTTTTTTCTGTTCTCACTTAACAGAAACACTCTTAATCATGTGTGGGACTGATAATTCCCTATTTGTCTTAAAAAAAAAAACACGAGGGACCTTGTGATTTAACACTTAACTAACTCTTCACTGGGAAATTCCATAACACTTATGAAAATTCACTGAGAGAAAAGGACTCCATCTTTTACTTCTGTAATACCATACTGGGAACCTAAACTCAAATTTGGCAGAATCTCACATGACCTTATTTGATGGACTTGGAGAGTTTCTAATTCACATTCAATGCTAAATAGGCATGAGGCCCTCACAACTCGATTTTGTTCTAAAAATCTTTCTTAGAATTCTATTGGAACTGGATAATCATTAGTAAAATAAACCTTAACTCCAGGGAGTATAGGGTGCTACAGTGTGTAGGGGATCTATGATAAGATGAGCTATCATACAAATTTAGCACCAACTCTGGGCTCATTTCCCAGCTGGGCACTCGGGGTCCCCAGAGGGCAGGTGACTACTCACTCCTCCTCCTCAGGGTTCAGTGGTTCATGAGCCAATACCTATGTCGTTTCCATTGAGACAGTGGATACAGTTTGAACTGGAAGGGATGGGACAAGACTTGATTCCAAGTTTTCTTGACTGTACGGCTACATCCCTAACCTCTCTGGGAACCTGTCCTGAGAGATGATCCTCAGGGAATCAATGGTTCTTGTTAATATTTCTTGACTGTTGCTTTCAAACTTCCCGCCTTTTCTTGTCTCTGGGCAAACTTGTGTAACTACCTTTGTTCTAGATTTCTGTGAAAAGATTGTGCCCCCTGAAAGCCCAGCCAATGGGATAAGGGGAAGGGGGTTAGGGAGGAGGAACTCGAGTTAGGGTATAAATAAATAAGCCTTGATTTCTGTACCAAATGTACTCTCCTGGCCTGAAATGGAGACTAAGAGGGTACCCTTTCTCATGAGAAAGCAATAAATTCCTTTCTACTTTCAAGGTATCTAAGTCTTTGTTTTCATTTTTGAGTAAGTGGTCTCTGTCCCACACATGACTCATGAAAGAAAAGGAGAGTTGGGATAAGTGCCTCAGTGTAGGTGCTACTGAGGCTGATGATGATGACGATAATGATGATGATGATGATGATGATGATGATGATGATAATTTTTTACCTAGGATGCACAATTTTAAATATTGGCCAACATGAATGGTTAAAGAAGAAAAATACCTTGCAGTAGCTAAGCAGTAGATTGCATTCTCTCTTGCAGTCTTCCCACTGTGTTCCAAGAAAGATTCAAGGGATGAAGTTAGGAAACGAGCTGCCTTAGGTGTCACATAGTAAAAAGGAGGGTGTGAGTAGCCCCTAGTAGCAAGTGAAGGAAGAGGAACTTGGGCTGAGTACAGATTCGTTGTCATCACTTTCTTCTTCCTAGATGTAGCCATCTTCTTTTTCTGGTTGCTTGAGTAACATTCTTGTAATCTTGAGAACTCATTTCTTTTTATTGGAGGCAGTTTTATGCTTCCTACACTTTTCTGCTGCCATGGAACTGTTACAGGATCCGAAGTTTTCCTGCTTTGGGTTTTTTCACAGAAACTTGGCAGTCTGGAAACTTTGCTTTTTATGCCCTTGTTCCCAGCTTTACTCCATTCTTTGGAGGTCATTTTCGGTTGGGTGAAGCCATCCACCATGACAAAATCTCCAACTCGAGTTCTGAACACCTGAGTCCCATCGTGGCGTCTTCTCTGAAGGATGTGATGCTGGGCTCTGAGAAGCCATTGTTTTATTTTAATGTAGATCCTCATGGGGATTGAAATTTTAGAATAAGAAACCATGGACCACATCTTAGCCACCAAATATAGTACGCAGTCTTTATGCTTGTGTTTGAGGGCAATTGTCAGTGGGATTTGTCCCACTGCATTTTTACAGTCCAGGCACAGGACATTGTAATTGATAAAGGCCTTAAGTACCAATAGTTGGCCTGTTTCTGCAGCTGCATGAATGGGACATTTGGTAGTATCTGGGTGATAAGTTTCATGACACCATTCTCGGTAGGGATGTACGCCAACTGCTTCGTTGGGCCTTGCCCCTTGCTGTAGGCTCCACTCTGTGAGCTCAATATATCCATAAAATGCAGCCATATAAAGTGCTACCCTCTTCTGGTACCTGAGTGAATGTAACAAAATAGGAAAGTTAATCTAAAAACCTAATAAAAATAGGTATGCAGCAATGATTAAATATTCTATTGCAGTTTTTCTCTTGCTAGATAGAAGTATGCCAAAAATATTTCTGTTAAATATCATAACAATTAACTTTTGGTTAAGTGAGTAGTAGTAAGTCCTTTGACTCACACAGGTCCCATTTGTAAATATTATACTATATTATTTATTCGTATGTACATATACATACATATGTATACATATATACATGTACATATATACGTAAGGCATGAGTGACAGTCCTGCTCGTGCACTGACTGCACCAAATGTGCTTCTATATTCCTGTCTAGGGGAGGAAGCTCTGGCTTGAGTTTCAATATGGGGCTATAGCTAGATGTGATACACACTCTCTGTAGGTAGTGCCTTCAGCAGTGTGGGAGTAGGGTGTCATCTTCCTGTGATATCCAAGTTAGGTAAAGCCTTGGCAGGAATCTAAGAACAACTGGGAAAAGGGAGAAGTCAGAAGTCAACAAGCATTTATTAAGCACTTACTGTGTGCTGGGCACTGTGCTAAGCACTGGGAATAGAAAGAAAGATGAAACAAGGTCCCTGCCCTCAAGGAGCTAACATTCCAATAGGAGAGATAACGTAAAAATAACTACATACACACAAGATAGTTATAAGACATATTACTTTGTAAATGGAAAGGTGATAGAGGAAGGAGGAATGGGAAAGGTCTGTTGTAGACAGTGAGATTTGAGCTGAATCTTGAAAGAAGCCAGTAAGCCAGATGAGTTTTGAAAGAAGCCAGGGAGGGGCAGCTAGGTGGTGCAGTGGATAGAGCACTGGCCCTGGATTCAGGAGGACCTGAGTTCAAATCCAGCCTCAGACACATAATACTTACTGTGTGACCCTGGGCAAGTCACTTAACCCCATTGCCTAGCCAAAAAAAAAAAAAACCACCAAAAAAAGACACGTTTGCCCATCAAAGTGGATAGTCCTAACTGTTTCTTTGAGGTGAGCTGAATAGGAGTGCACTGGACTTGAAGCTCCCAAGTCACGTAGGCTTCCCCGTGCCATATGAAGGTAGTGAGAACCTTAGACCTGAGTGAAGGTGCAAGAATTCAGTGCCACTGCCATCTCGTCCCTTCCATGCTGCTAAGTGCAGCTCCAGGATAATTTACACACCTCTGTTGTTGTTCAGTTGTGTCCAACTCTTCATGACCCTATTTCAGAGTTTTCTTGGCAAAGTTACTGATGTGATTTGCCATTCCCTTCTCCAGCTCATTTTATGGATGAGGGAACTGAGGCACACAGGGTTAAGTGACTCTCCCAGGGTCATACACCTAATAAGTGTCTAAGGTCAGATTTGAACTCATGAAGATGAATCTTTCTGACTCCAAGTCTTGCACTGTATCTACTGTACCACCTAGCTTCTCATATCCCAGCCACTCTAACTGCCAAGGGCATGATGGGAGTTGAGAAGAATTTTCTCACTGCGACTTAGTTGACAAGCAGATTGGGAGAGTTTCTGCAGTAAGGAAGTGAGGTAGTCAAAAGGATGTCGACCTGGGAGATTCTTTTCTGTTCTGGTTGAGCTTGGCTATGGACGTGATTAAGGATAACCTAGGAATAAGGCATGGCAATGGAAGACAGCTCCAGCAGAGGGCAATAGTGTAGTGGAGGAGTCCAGAGGCTGGTTGGGAAGAGATTAAGCCAACCGAGACTGTTGAACCTGAGTATCATTCACTTTTCCTGCCAGGTTCCTATCATTTTATGGAGTATAGTAGGGCTACTGTAGTATGCACACACACACACACACACACATTATACATACACATACATAATATTTAATATTTATATTATAATATATTATATGCATATATACACCTACACACATACACATGTATATGTATATATGCATATAGCGTTGTCTTGTATATATGATCTGTGTGTACAGATACATATACACACGTACATATACATCGTGGCATTGCAGATCAGTGTCAAGGATTATTAGGAATAGCTGTTCTTGTGAGTATTGCTTATAGGGAAAAATATGCTTTGTTAATATAGTTAACATTTATTTTTAGCAACCATACTTGAGTACTGGTTCCTTTTCTGATAGATACTGTTGGACTTTAAGCTTCTGTCCTTGGAGACAACCAGTAAGAAATTCTTTCCATCCATCCCATACATCTAAGCGAAGCGTTGTTCCTGTAGGTGAGGATGAATAAGGAATAATATCTTATCATCCTTGTTTCTGACTGTGATTTGTAGTTCACAAAGTGTGCTTGACCAAAACAAAGGTGGCTTGCTACTGTGGTTGTGATGGAATGTGTGTTTCTGCTAGAAAAGCAGAACCAGCCTCTGTATTAGCCTGGAGGATTCTGCCTTCAGCTCAGTCATTCCTTTGGAAATGCCACTCTGACTTCAGAGTGCTTCTATTTCCTCATCTATAATATTGATTACATTTCCTATACATGTACATGGCCAAAGAACATAAACAACTTTCAAAAGAAAAGAAAATTGTGCGCTATAAACATCCATATTTTTAAAAAATAGTCTTTTGGTCCCCTTTTGATCTTAGAGACTAAGAATGCTTGGTAGCATATAAACCACAAAAAGTGCTGCTATAATTATTTTAGTTTATATGAGACCTTTCATTTGACCTAAGACAATATCTTCCATTCTCTAGTTTCTTTTCTTTCTTTTTTTTTCCCTTTCCTCTCTCTCTTTTTGCCATTCTGTTATTTCCCTTTCCCCCATTGTTTATTATTTGCCTTTTACTCCCCTTTTCAGAAGAAAAAGTGCAACTGGACATGTAGGGCTTAATGTATAAGCAGGTATGGGACCCTACTAGATCCAAACGTGCCTGTCCAAACTCTACCATGTTCCAGACCATGTGGCTGAACTAACCCTCTTGGTCCTGCTCCCCAGTGGTCTTGGTTTTGGCTTAGCAGAACTTGGCTATCTACCAGAGTCTTCCTTGGCTTCAAACCTAATGTAGACATCATGTGTCCTTGACCTGCCTTCCTATTTGCTGTATTTATCTCCCTACAGTTTCTGATCTTGTGTTTCCTGTCCCAATTTACTACAACCTGACTCTGACTCAGATCAGCTCTACCACGGTAGGAAGGTCCCATGACAAATATGGTGATTTCATATCTAGGAGAGTGTAGTTTCGCAACAGTTCTTTAGTAATGCTTTGATTAAACTACTTATCAAAGACTCTGTAATTGGAAATTCAAAGTTTATTTATTAAAGGGTGCCTATTCTCTTGATTTTTTTTCTAATAAGATGTTTAATTTCCCTAGAGATAGGCATGAGAAGGCAGAGAATTTTAACAGCTCATTCTAAATTCAATTATTTCATTTACTGGTACTTAATTATCTACAAAATACCAATTTATTGTGAGATTACACATATTTTGATCCTATTCCCTCCCTATGTGTAATAACTCCTCTGTAAGGTGGAGGAATGGCCCAGGACTGCAAAGATTGCCTGGGATTTTGAATTTTCACTCACCTTTTTCCTGTGCAAGGAAATATCACATGGTATTGTGATGGAGTGAAACTTGAGAGCTGACAAAGAAGAGGAAAAACTGAGAGGGAGTAAAAGACATCCTCCCAGAGTGTAGCAGCAACAATAGTGTTGTGACTGCCATGCTGTGGTTCCTCCCCAAGCCCACAGGGGGAAGGGAAAGCTAAAGTGGTAAATGACAAGGTACAAGACTGTAGCTTCTTACTATGGTGGCTGCAACACCGGTAAAAAACAGGTGCATTGTGGGCAACGCACAGGAGCATCTGTTGGTCCTCATTCCCCTTCTATTGTCTTACTTGGTCTCAATGCAGTTGGAGCCCAGATCTGAGACTGTTCAGCTATTTTGATAAAAGTTATATTTTATAAATGCAGTTTTACTTTTCATTAATATTTGTAGGTGACCTAGACATGTTCATTTCCTTACATTCCTTTGTTTGCCCTCTGAACATGCAAGAGAAGCCAGGATAGATCTTCAGTTTTCGTCACACAGAAGGGTACTGACTGGGAAGCTTTTTCTTCTGGACTTCTGGCTGGGAACCCCAAGCTCTGGTCCACTGTTAAAGAAGCTTTCTCTAAGTGAGGGATTCATTAGGAGCCATTGACATGGTATTTTTGGAAATTATGAGCAGGAATTTAAAAGAATTCAGAAACAGTCACTTCTAAGACACTAAGGAACCACTTTCATTCTGTTATTGTGACCTATGTGTCTGGCCCACTGGAAGGACCTCGAATATATCTGGATAAGGAGGTAGGTGGAATTGAAAGAATAATTTCTCCCATGTACCAGTGAGAAAGAGGGAATAAAGGAAGATGTTCCTTCCCTTCAAGGTCTTTGTTTGTTATTATTTTTTTTCCACTCCCTGACATCTCCACTCAAGGACTGGATCTGGGACTGTACTTCTCTCTGGCCAAAGGCAAGTATAAGAGGTGATCCTGCTTTCAGGGCTACTCCCCATATAATGAATCAGCCCTGATCACTTAGGTAGGAAGGAAGACAATGGGCAGCTCTCAAATGTCAAAGGGACTTTCAGAGCTATATGGACTAACTGATGCTTCTCAGGTTTCAAAGTAAATTTCTAAAACACACACTTTAGGTTTCCACCTTTATTTCAACAATTATACGTAGCTCTAGCGTTCTGACTTCAGACCAATGCAAGACAGATTTTCAGCTTGCTGTAAATATAATACTCCTTATGGACTAAGTCTACCAATTACCAGCTTGGAATCCCAGAAGGTGGCTAGCTACTTCTGCCCTTGGGCTTCTAGTACTTGTTGGTTTGTTTAGTACCCTCATACGGTGTTTGCTCCTTTGATTACCATCCAGACAGACTGAACTAACTTTTAAAATAAGGGATTTCCCAAGGTGGTATAACAAGAGATGTTGGTATAAAACATTCCCCCAAAATGAGCATACACTGTCTCCTGGCACACGTAAGATCCCTGGGGAGAGTGGACTCAAGCTTAGAGACCATATATGACAAAGGCATAACTCAGAGTTCCTGATTTCTGGAAGTCTTTTTCTCCTTTTGTAGAATCTTCATGAAGACCTCTTCTAGTGTTTGTAGCTCTCTGATGGGTTGTGAAAGTTGATGCCCTTGTAGAGGCATCTGCTTTCTTCTGTGGGTTCAGTTTGTCCTTTAGCTGCCAATGCAGGCTGCTGTCAGCTGCTGCCATTTAATGGATAGTGCTACCAAAACCTCATGGGAAATCCAAATTTTCTGACCTTTCAAAATTCACAGGGTCATCTTCTTGTCAAAGGAGGTGGGGAGGAGACAAAGACTCTATTCTCCTTCCCAAATGATTCCGTCTCAGGAATTTGGCTGGCCTGTTATTGGAGTGCCAGATTCCAAAATGGCTTGCCATTTTGTCCAAGCCCTGCAGGTTGACTAATTCTCTTCAACCAACCACAAGATGTTTCCTGTGTGGCTCATCTGCTTGTATTCAAGTCATACCTAGTTTATACCTTTAGTTGATGAATTGATTGATTGATTGATTGATTGAGTCAATAGAGGTATTCAGGAGTTAGTCACACCTAATTTACGCCTTTGGTTTATTGATTCTGCAGTTCAACCAAAGAGGAGTTTTCAATCAAAAGGTGTCAAGGCTGGAGTATCTGGTTAGTTACATTCATTGGGGTTTAGGTGTATGGGACAACCCTCATATGTAGAAAGTATAATAACCATTGAGTGATCAGAAACAGAATGAGGCACTTTGTAAGCTGGGATAACTTTCTCATTAGAAAATATCAGTACCTAAGGAGATCATCCAGAAACAAAGTCTATGAACATCTCCTACCAGGGAAGACACAAAGGGAATTCCCAGGTTGGCTACTAGTTTAGAACAGATGGCTTGCAGTATCCTTTTTCCCTCTAAGATTCTATGGCTTCTAATCTTTCTTGTTTGAAAAGAAAAGCAAATAAGCTGCTTTCCTTCCCGCTGCAAAAAAGAGGTAGCATAGTACAATGGGTAGAGTTCTGTCCTTGGACTCAGCCTTTGATGTGTGACCACAGGAGGAAGGGAACAAGCATTTATTGAGCACTAATACTTAGTGCTGTACAAAGATTATCGCATTTGACCCTTCAACAACCCTGGGAGGTAGGTGCTATTGCTATCTCCATTTCACAGTTGAGGAAATTGAGTTCTGTGGCTTTTTTTTCCTTCTGGTTAGCCTTAGGGTACTAAAAGAGCTGTTAGCCTGCCCTCATCAGAGACAGGCTTTCTAGTCATTATGTCAGAGATAATCAGAAGATCCTGAAGAGACAAGGCCCCAAAGCTGAGGGAAACAGTGACCGCAAGAGCGATGGAGGAACACACCCCAAAATGTGATGTCTGGTAGAAAGCAGCATTGGATCTACTATATCCCTGCCTTACCGGGTGGAGGAGTCCTAGGATTCCTATGCAATTCTTCTCTACATTATTCACAGGGAATCTCCTCCAATGTGTTAGAGCCTTCTTCACTTTGTAGGGACTCCTCTTGGATACCAAATGAGTACACAGGCTTTCCACCAGTTACCATCTGTTCTTGCCACGTGTACAGCAGATTTCTTTTGCTCTTAATTTTTTTTGTTGCTGTTGATAATCTGTTGTTAGGGGCAGCTAGGTGGCGTAGTGGATAAAGCGTCGGCCCTGGATTCAGGAGGACCTGACTTCAAATCCGGCCTCACACATGTAACACTTACTAGCTGTGTGACCCTGGGCAAGTCACTTAACCCCATTGCCTAGAAAAAAAATCTGTTGTTGTTTTTGTTGTTGTTGAGTCATGTCCAGATCTTCATGACCATGTGGACCATACTGTCCATGGAGTTTTCTTGGCAAAGATACTGGAGTGGTTTGCCATTTCCTTCTCCACTGGATTAAGGAAAACAGAGGTTAAGTGACCTGCACAGGGTCACACAGTTAGTAAATATCTGGGGCTGGATTTGAACTCAGGTCTTCCTGACTCCAGCCCAGCACTCTCTCCACTGAGCTACCTAGTTGCTTCCTAATAATCTGTGCTTTACTTCTTAATAATTCCTTATTTTTAACAAATTTCAGCCTGCTCACAACCACAAAGATCTCTTCCTTGCCTCTGGTTGTTTTCAGTCATTTGGAAACTAGTGTTCCATGTCTCCCAACCACATAACAAAAACAATCATTACAGAAGCCATTCAATGAAAGTATATTGGTTGAATGATTGCTATGTAGATACAGAGAGAGGTTGTCATATTAAACTCTTGGTAGGATCACCTGAAGGCAAAGCGAGGCAGGGTCTATTCCTAGCTGTCATGGATGCTCTGATGTTTATATGAGAAAGCAGATTGAGAGTTCCTTTAGCACAAGGGATGGTGAACTGGATGACTTTTCTAATGCTCCCCAATGTTTAGTACAGTGCTATGCAAACAAAAACTATGCCATACATCAAGGGAAAAGGGGCAAATCATGTAACTTCCAGTTGCCTGTTGCAAAAAGGGGACAAAATTTTGTTAACAGAGTTTTGTGATGTTTGGTGAGCTTAGATGAATAAATCTCAACGGGCTTTGAGGTCCTGAAACAAGAATAAGTTATAGAAAGGAGAAATGTTAAGTCTTCATAATTGTTTGACAAAGATTTCATTAAACAGGGGACAGCTACGTGGTGCAATGGCTAGGCTTAGAGTGAGAAAATCAAATCTGGCCTCAAATACTAGCTAGCTATGTGAGCCCAGGCAAATCACTTAACTACTCTCCTCCTCAGTTTCCTGTCTTGTAAAATGAAGATAATTATAGCATCTACCTCCCCAGGGTTATTGTAAGGATAAAATGAGACTGTATTTGTAAAGCACTTTGCAAATCTTAAGCACAAAAATGCTCATTATTTTTATTATGTTATTACTATATGAACTCTATAGGAAAAGCCAAAGCAAAGAATTGCCCACTTGTACAGTACCCATAGCAAAAATCCAACCTCATTATAACAAGCATATAGTATAGTAGTATAGTCTAACTAAAAGTTACAAAAGTAAACTAGAAATCTTCCCTCTCTAGCCTTTTCCTTTTTCCAGTCTTCAAATCATTTACTTCAAGCAATATTCAATATTGCTTCTCTAAGCCATTTTGCTTATCTGTAAAACAGGGATAGTATTAGAACCTGTACTATATAAATATCAATTATTATTTTTTAATATTAATTTCAAGCCAAATTTCTGTACAAAAGAAAAATTCAGGCAGAACCTTGGAGTTTGTTGTATTGGAAATTGATATGTGATGGACAAGTTTTAGAAAGAGTTTCCAAAGTAAAAAACCATATACTGTACCTATATCTGTTTGGTAATCAATCAGTGTGTTACAGTCATACATCTCCCTTCCTTGAGGAGTCCGGAGACAGAAGATACTCACTGGAAAGCCACATCGCAGGGTTATCAGTGTTTTCAGATAGGACACTTTTTTACCAAGAAGGTAAATGCTCCCCATTATTGGCATTGTTTCTTGAGTTACTGCATTATAGATGTAGAGGGTCGGTTTGTTTTCTTTCTAAGTGGGGGGGGAAAGTAAAGAGAGTAATTATCTTGAGGTATAAGTTAGCCCTGCTATCCAAGAAGCAGGGATGGGAAGAAAAGATTCAAGTTTCAAAGACCACTGAACTCTAATCTACTCCTCTTCAATTGAGATGCTTGTCCTTTTGATTTTTAATAATGATAATAGATAATATTTATATAGTGCTTTAAGGTTTGCAAAGCACCTTATATATTATCTCATTCGATCTTAACAACAACCCAGGGAACTAAGTGCTATCTTGCCATTTCAAGTAAGGCTGAGAAGAGTTAGGTGACTTGCCCAGAGTTATGCTAGTGACTAAGAAAGGATTTGAACCAAGGTCTTCCTGCCTTCAAGTCCAACTTTCCATCCACTATGTCATCTAACTGATTCACTTAGGATTAAGAGTAACTCAGTTTCACTTGCTGCTGAGTCCACAAACTAAGGGGATAAGGAGCTTAAATAACCTTGTGTAATCTTGTTTGGGAAATGGCCTTACTTCTTTGCAGTTTGATTAGAAATATTGTTTACATCTAGTCCTTCATTTAGTTTCGTAAAAACTTCTGGCTTTGTTCCCTATTGTTTTGTAGATGATGCAAGAAAAAGAGTGTAGCTAAGGCTCTTGTATGGAAAAAGATCACTGGAAAATTGTACAGTTGGGGACAAACTACCCCAGTCTTTCTATTCATAACACACACACACACACACACACACACACACACACACACACTCACATGCGCGCACCCCCCCCCTTATAAATTCCAAAAGTTAATAAGCAGCGAGCTATTGAGTCTTGGTTTTCTAAAGAAAGGGGAACCCATGCCAAGTTCCTCAAAATTCTCAAAACTAGATGTTCTACCCTCATCAGGATAGTACAGCAAGTAGTTTCCTAATCGTATGAGTCAATTTCAGTTTAATTCACTTCAATTCAACAAATATTTCTATATTTGAAACACTGTGTTGGGGGGAGGGGGATACAAAACCAAAACCTGAAACAAAAACCTGCCTTCAAGGAGCCTATGTTCTCCTAGGGAGAAAACAATATATGTGTGGACAGTTAAATACAAAATATATATGGAATAAATATCAGGTTATTTCAAGTGATGATGGTTTGGGGCAGAACACTAAATCTGTAGGTAACGCTTGAGTTGTACTTTGAAGGAAAATTTTTTTAGGCAAAATTTTGAGATAGGTAAAGTTGTCCTCCAAATGTATACTTCCTTACAGAGTCTATCCTTTAAAATCTACCTTGTAAGGCAGCCAGTGTCCTCATGCTGTTCCCATCACCCCACTTCTCCATCTCCATGCTACAGACCTTTTTCTTCTATATAAAAAATTTAGCTCGCTTTTTTATCACATAGTCTAGATTTCAGGTATGGGACAAGTGAATGGTAGCAGATTGATTAGAAAAAATAATCCCTGATTACAATGATACCTACCTAATTCTTAACCCTTCAGAGATAACAAAACAACAACAACAATAAAAACCATTGCCTTAGTCCAATTAAGATGTCATTAAAGTATAGTAATGGTAAAAGTTTTAGGTGCCAGAACAAGTCTCAGGAAAACATTTTTGGTTGGGAGATGCTTTCAGGAGACCCAAGATTGTACTTGTTGAGGTCCTGTGACCTCTAATCAAGAGTCTTGTAACTTTGATATAGGTACATCTCTGAGAAGAGGGAAAGGCTCAGAAGGTGTTGTCAAAGGCACAGATGCTCCTGACTTGATAACACAGAGTCCTCATTGTCAAATCCTTCAGTGAGCAAGGTTCCCAAGACCTTGGGCAGCTCGTAGATTTGAATATTAGACCTCTGACCCCCACCCCAAAAAAAGACCTCTGACCCCAAAGGACTCATTCTTTCCACTGTATGTGGCAACAGTTTCTTCTTTTGGGTCACCTAAGCCCCTTTCCTGAAGCAGAAAGATGGAGTAATCAACCTCTTTCTCCACGTGTCCTGGGGCTGGCGGTTGCTGCAGATTGGCTGCCTTTACATAGCTCCCCATAAGTAATGGCCTACCCCACTGTTGGCCTGTCAGTTCAGTTCAACAAACAATTGAGTTAATGTTTGTTGAATTGAATCAATTCCCTGGCCAGCGTTCCCTGAACCTTCCTTCTGTGGCTCTTTCTTCCCATACAGAGAATAGCAGAAGCAGTGTTTAAAGCCTGGACCTGGACCATAGTTTCCCAAAGTGGTCAACACTGCCCCCTGGAGGGTGCTGGAATGATCCAGGGAAGCAGTAGTCGTCTTGGGAGCAATTGGGGGGAATTGAATAAAAATAAAGGGGGGGGGGGAGGGTATGGAAGCGTAAGGAAAGAAGAGAAGAAAAATTTTGAAAAACTTCATACTTGTTTCATCTATTGTGTCACAGAGATAAAATCATAGCGATTACGTTATTTTCCAAATAAGCACACAAAATGTGAGTTATAAAGTGTCAGTGGTCAAGTCGGCCAACAGGTCTTAATAAGCAAGCGTTGGCAGGCGAGTGTGTGGAACATTGTTGCGAAATCCATAATGCATCAGCAGCAATGCGTACATGCAATGATTTGTTTACAATATATTATACAGTTATGTGATGTAATATTGTGTCATCAAAATTTCAATGCAGGAAAAAACCCACAAATTTACAATAAATTACTAAGTTAAGATGGGTCTTTTAAAAAGTCTTTATCTTTTTAAAATGATGCAAATTTCAAAAAACCATTAAAGGGTTAAAGAAAGTAGATTTCCAGGTGAGTGCTGAGTAATTTTTTTTTTTTTTTGGTGAGGCAATCGGGGTTAAGTGACTTGCCAGGGTCATACAGCTAGTAAGTGTCAAATGTTTGAGGCCACATTTGAACTCAGGCCCTTCTGACTCCAGGGCTGATTCTCTATTCACTGTGCCACCTAGCTGCCTTTTTTTTTTTTAAAGGGGCGGTAGGCCAAATAACTTTGGGAATCTCTGGCCCAGACCTCTGATTCCAAATCCAGTATTCTTTCCACTGTATTACATTGATTTTTTCAAAGTACACGTCACATGGATAATGGGTATCATATTGTTGGCCTTCTTAATGAGTGAAGGAGGAAAAGAATTTGGAAATCAAAATTCAAAAAATAATTAATGCTACAAATAAATAGATAATGAATAAATAAATAATAAATTGAGAAGGAGGGAATTAAAAAAGAAACAAACCCAAAGTGTGTGTCAGAGGCGATTTTTCCTGACTCCAACTCTGGCTGTCTATCCATTCAACCACAGGTTATTACAAGGGTTTCCCTCATTCTCACACAGTACAGCCCTCTTCTAGCTGGAAGATGATAGGCCAAACCAGGGGTGGGGAACTGCAGCCTCAAGGCCACATAGCCCTTTTGACTGAGTCCAAGTTTTACAGAACAAACCCTTTTATTAAGGGGATTTGTTCTGCGAGGTTTGGATTCAGTTAAAGAGCCACACTCGAGGACCTAGAGGGCCTCATGTGGCCTTGAGGTCACAGGTTCCCCATCCCTAGCCCAAACTATCTCATTCCCCATTTCCCTACCCAAAAAATCACATTCATTTTTCCTTTGTTTCTGTTATTTTTCTTCCACAGAGTCCCTCCCTTGTTAATGGGCATTTGTTATAAGAGACAGTGTGGTATTGTAGAAAGTGTGCTGCTCTGGGCATCAGAGTGCTTGGGTTCAAATCTTCCCTCAGACACTTTCTTCTGCCTGTGTAACCTGAGGCAAGTCACCTAACCTCACTTTCATTATTTATGAAAAATGAGGGGGTTGAATTAAATTGTCTCTGAAGTATTTTCTGGATCTATGATCCTTCTCTTTTGGGGGCAGCTAGGTGGCGCAGTGGATAGAGCACCAGCCCTGAAGTCAGGCAGACCTGAGCTCAAATCCAGCCTCAGACCAAATACTTGACACTAGCTGTGTGACCCTGGGCAAGTCACTTAACCTCAATTGCCTAAAAAAATTTAAAAAAATTTTTTTAAATGTAATACTTTTTAAAAGAAGTGCACACACACAAAAAAGCCTTGGGGCAGCTAGGTGGCACAGTGGATAGAGCACTGGCCCTGGATTCAGGAGTACCTGAGTTCAAATCCGGCCTCAGACACATAGTACTTAGTAGCTGTGTGACCCTGGGCAAGTCACTTAACCCCAATTGCCTCACCAAAAAAACCTTAAACCAAAACTGGTAAAGGCACTGCCTATTTTTAAAAAATTGTCAAAAGGTAAACCAGCTCTTCACACAAAGACAACAAAAAAAAATTGAATATTTTCCAAGTACGCTTACTCCCTAATAGCTGCCTGTACGCGGCATTCAACGAAAGTACTAAGGACAGGTTTTTACCCATAAGCATTTGGGGCACTTAGAAGGATATTATATTCATAGGCTAACTAATGTTTTCCTGGCCCTGCCAAAAAAAACAGTAAAGTGGCTTTTGTTTCCCTAAATTCTCAGAAGAGTTCTTTAGTATCTAGGTGTGACCAGCTTCCTGGGAAAGCTTCTATCTGGCTGGGTAAGTAGTACCTAGGTTGCTAGTTATGTTTGTATATGTAATTGTGCAATGCAAGACTGTGCCTTGACGTGTGGCATGCCTTCAGTCACCTGAGACAGATTAAGAAGCACACAGCTGGTGGAAAGGCATTCTTTGAGTCTTACAGTGTATTTGTGTGGTCCTTTTATTGAAGACATAGCTTCTGTTTGCCCATCTTGGATTGTTGCCACGTATATGTGAGATTTTTCTGCCTTATACCATCAGTTTATGTCATTACAGAACCTCAGCCAGGGCTCAGTCAAGACTGAAGCTGGCGCTGGCTAGTGTTTGTGAGTTGGATGGCAGCTGATTTCTCAGACAGTGCAGTATTGTCCTGCATGAACCCAGTGACTAGAAATGGTGTTAGGGTAGCTCTACAAAAGGGTGATGATTGAGATCAGCAAAAATTCCATGAAATATTAGGTGTATTCATTGAATCCTGTGTCTGGGCAAGATTCCATCCCTGGAGACTAGAATGTATCCTGAGCTCTCTCTGCTGCTGCTGCTACACTCTTGGCTTCCATCATGGCCTGCATGGGATCAGAGATTTAGAGCTGGAAGGGATCTTACTGATCAAGTCCAGCAGTGCCTGGGGAGAGAATAGCTTTTATGGCTGTAAGTGGCTCTAGAGATCATGAAGTCCTACCATCTCTTAGGTGATCATGGGATTTAGAGATAGAAGGGCCTCCTTAGAGACTTTCTAGACTGAGGCTCCAAAGGATCCATGGATAAATTTCAGGGGTCCGTGAATTAGATGGAAAAAAAGAAGAAAAGTTTCATTTTCACTAACCTCTAACTGAAACGATCATTTCCTTCAATTTTAAATGAAGATTTAAATCAAGATTTAGCAGCTTTTACATGAAGGGACCACAGGGCATGGAGTACAATATTCCGGAGGGCAAAGGAGATAGGATTACAACAAAAGAATCACCTACCCAGCAAAACTGAGTATAATCCTTCAGGGGGAAAAATGGTCATTCAGTGAAACAGAGGACTTTCAAGCATTCTTGATGAGAAGACCAGAGCTGAATAGAAAATTTTACTTTCGAATACAGGACTCAAGTGGAACATGAAGAGGTAAACAGGAAAGAGAAATCATAAGAGACTTATTAAGGTTGAACTGTTTACATTTCTGCATGGAAAGATGATATTTATAACTCATGAGACCTTTGTCAGTATTAGGGTAGGGGGAGGGAAAAAAATTATATGTATGGATAGATAGATAGATAGATAGATAGATAGATAGATAGATAGAGAGATAGGTAGGTAGATAGATAGACGGCACAGGGTGAATTGAAGATGAAGGGGTGATATCTGGAGAATAAAATTAAGGGGTGAGAGAGGATTATACTGGGAGAAGGAGAAAGGGAGAGGTAGAATGGGGTATATTATCTCACACAAAACAGACAAGAAAAGGCTCTTACAGTGGAGGGGAAACAGGAGAAGGTGAGAGGAAATGAGGGAATCTTATTCTCATAGGATTTGGCTTAAGGAGGGAATAACACACACAATCAATTGGGTATGGAAATCTGTCTTACCCTACAGGAAAATAGGGGGGAAGGGAACAAGAGAGCAGGGGGATGATGGAGAGAAGGGCAGACTGGGAAAGGGGTAATCAGAAGGAAATACTTCTGAGGAGGGGCAGAGTCAAAAGAAAGAATAGAATAAATGGGGGGGGCAGGATAGGATTAAGGGAAATAGAGTTATTTTTTCACATGTGTACTATGGAAGTGTTTTGCATAACTGCACATGTATGGCCTATATTGAGTTGCTTGCCTTTTCAATGAGGGTGGGTGGGGTGAGAGGAAGGGAGAAAATTTGGAACCCAAAGTTTTAAAAACATGTTTTTTTTAAAAAAAAGTTTTCACATGCAACTGGGAAATAAGAAATGCAGGAAGTGGGGTATAAAAATCTATCCTGCCCTACAGGAAAATAGAAGGGGAAGGGAATAAGAGAAGGGGGGGAGAGATAGAAGGGAGGGAAGACTAGGGGAAGGGGTATTCAGAATGCATGCCATCTTGGGGTGGGGGGAGGGGCATGATGGGGTGAAACTTTGGAATTCAAAATCTTGTGGAAATGTTGAAAAGTGGAAAAAAAGAGTTTTTTTGTTCATATCTCTGACTATATATTGGAGAATACTTTCAGTCATATATTTCAGTTAGTTGATATATACATATTGTATATAATATGCATGTATATAATATTAGATAACAAATCTTCATAAGAGATATAAGATTTTTCCAAGTCATCAATTTCTATTTTTGAAGCTTTTCAGTTTCATGTAATTAAAATGATCTATTTTATCTTTAAAAAAAAAAAGAAAGAAACTTTCATTTTCACTAACTTCTAACTGAAATGATCATTTCCTTCAATTGTAAATGTAGGCAACAAAATATTATTCTAAAAAGGGGGCCATTGGCTTCATTGAACTGATAACAGCATCCAAAGAAGGGGAGAACCCCTGTTCTAGCCCAACTTCCTTATGTTATAGATGACAAATCTGAGGCCCAGAGAGTTTGAAAGCCAATGTCTCACAATGAGGGAGTCAGAGAGGATAGGATAAATGTAGCAGACATTCATAATGAAGACTGAGATGTGGAACCCATCTACTTATTCTAGTTTTTGTTCAGGCCCCTAACTTCATTTATATGTGAAGAAAACCTTTGAAGTAAAGTAATTCTTGTTACCTAGGCTCCCACAAAAACTCTTGGGATTTTCTAAGGGAAAGATTCCCCCCCCAAAAGCTCATATTCAGTGATATAATAGGAATTGCAAGGAATTTTCTAACCTCAAGTCAAACAGTTGTTAGGGACTATGGACCCTAATCAGCACCAGAAGAAGAAAGTTAAAAGGATAGATTTAATCTTTTCCTGGAGTATTCTGCTATCTTTTATTAACTTCCTAGCTGGGTATGAGAACCCTTCCCTAAAACAGCATCAATCTGCCTTCGTAAAGAAGATTTTCCAGCCATTTAAATTCAGCACCTGGGAGTGGAGAGCAATAGATGATCTTGAGGAACTGAAGTAGCAGATAGTATCAGAGAATAGCTTGGTGACAGACTAACAGTGATTCTCCGGGGAGATGATGTGCTGGGGAGTAGAGATACAGTATTTAACCAGAGTCAGAAAGGAGCAATAAAATTATTCCATCAGAGTACATGAGCAGCTATGCAGCCTTGGCAACATATGTTCTAGATGTCTTTGAACTCCTGTGAATAGAGAATGCATGTTCTCTATGCCTCTCTCCACTAGTGGTGTAGTAAGAGTATATCCTATGTGTTCAAGGGCCATCTTTTCTTTTCACCTCATTTGCTGTGATGTTTGATGAAATGTCTGGTTTTGAATTAATGCATCTTCTGGCTAGCTAATCAAAGTAAATGCAATACTGAGGGTTCACGAGCTAATGTTTCTAGCGGGTCCTGATTCACAGGGTGTCTCAAACTTGGAATAGCTTTTCTGAACATCCACATGTGTGGAGAAGAGGCCCAGGTGGTGAAGAACCACTGATATCAATGTTGATTAGGTTCTATATCATTACTAATATGTATTTCAAGTGCATTATTGGTTAAATCTTTCCCTGAAGTTCTCTGATATTTCTTCCTTTTGTTGGAGGTTGGCCCTGGGTTCTTAAAAGCTATACTAGGGGATCCCAAACTCTGGCAGGCCCTCACAAGAGTGAAAGAGCTTGAGTATGGCCCAGTGACATATTATATGTAACCTATCCAAGTTTGGAGAGGCTCATCACCCAGACTGGTTACATGGTGATGAATTTTTCAGCCATATCAATTCTTAAAGAATATCTACTAAGTCTTAAATGCTTTCAGTCTTAATGGGCAGAAAGAATGCTCACATCAAAGACAAAGGCAGATTGTTGAAATACTGAAGTGTGCATTGGTTAAAAAGGTTTTTATGGGATGGCTTGTAAAACTAACCATCATTTATAAAGTTGTTCCTAAGCTAAGAACTGCCCAAATTCAATTAGGGGACAAACAAGAGCTCCTTCTACTTTGCAATTATCTTGCAAAAGAAGTCTTCAAAGACCTTTTCTACTCATTGACTTTCTTTTAAATGACCTTGTTATTCTTTCTAATGATTAGGTACCTCTTATGTGTGGAGATTTAGGTAATCAGGCAAATTAACTATGATTTAGTGGAACCATGATATAGACAACTTCAATAACTGTTGCTCTGATCATACCTTGACCAAGCATTTGAGATTTGCACCAAGTGATACTCCTATATCAGCAAGACTCCAGTCATCATTTAGCACAGCTCCAGCGTACATCAGTTGTAGATACGTCTTGCCTTGTTTATCCTCAGATAGTGGAATATGGAAGTAATCCTTTAAATGGATAATGAAAAATGGTGAAAAATAGGACACTTTCAAGAAATTTCTAATAAAACTTCAAATCAAAAATTAACACTAAAATGAAGAAGAAAAAGAAGAAAGCCTTAAATGGAACAGAGATGCATGTTTTTAAAAATATTCAGGTAGTTCATATCTAGGAAAAACAAGATTTGAGATAGTTATGGTAAAATCTGTCACACTGTGGTATAGCAGATGTATTGTCCCTGCATTAATACTTAGACTCAAATATTCTTAACGGATCTGGGATCTCATCCATGTGTATATTCTCTTCAGTGAATCAGATTGCAACCCATCCATGACCATTTGTCCTATGTGACTTGTCCATGTCCTCCCATAATTTGGACAAAAGGAAGTCACTCGTGCTTAGAGCTTTCCTCGCTTTCTCTTGGCATTGGGAGGACACCAGTAAAGAACAAAGGCTTTCTGTCCATCCTTCCCACTACTTGACAGACCGTCTTCTTTTTTCACTCATATGTGTTCTTGACAACATCCTTTACTCTGGTTTTCTTTCATAATTCCTAGTTTATAATGTGTTATGTCCTGCTTACAATTATCAGGCACCTCTTCATTTCTCCTGTGTGTGAAACTCATTTTCAGTTCTTTAACATCTACGGTATTCTGTGACTCACATCCACCCAAGAATAACAGAATGCTTGTATTAAAATTATGAGAGAATTTCAAGGAGAATTAGTTTTGATAATTTAAATATAGACATATAAATATATACACACACATATATGCACATACGATAGTTAAATACAAGTTTGGGAAGGAGGCCTCTAGCAGTTATGGTGAATAGGGAAGGTTTCATATGGAAGATGGTGGCTCAGCTGCGTATTAAAGGAAGTGAGGAACTTTCAGAAAAGGAGGTAAGAGAAGGAGGGCATTCCAGGCATGGGAGACAGCCAGTGTAAAAACTCAGAGATAAGAGAAGTGTTGTGAGTAAAGAACAAAGAAAAAGCCAGTTTGGCTAGATTGCAAAGTGTGGGAGGAAAAGTAATGTCCAATAAGAATGAAAAATAACTTGGGGCCAGATTGTATAGAACTAAAAAGGCTAAGTAAAGGAGTTACTAGTCCAGGCACATCCTATGCACTTAAGAAATACTTTTTGAAAGACGAGAAAAAGAAATTGAAGGAATGAGAATAGACAAGGAGAAAACAAAACTATCACTCTGCAGATGATATGATGGTATACTCAGAGAAACCTAGAGAATCAAATTAAAAATTAGTTCAAACAAGTAACAACTTTTAGCAAAGTTGCCTAATATAAAATAAAGCTACATAAACCATCAGCATTTCTGTGTTATCAGTAAAACCCAGCAGGAAGAGATAGAAAGGGAAATTCTATCTAAGATAACTACAGGTAGTAGAATACTTCAGAGACTACCTGCCAAGAGAAATCCACGAATTATATAAACACAATTATAAAATACGTTTCAACCAAAGAAAGAGCTAAACATCTGGAGGCATAGTAATTGCTCATGGGTAGGTAGAGCCAATATACTAAAAATGACAATTCTATCAAAATTTATTTACCTATTCAGTGCCATACCAATCAAACTACCAAAGAATTATTTTATAGAGCTAGAAAAAATAATGACAAAATTTATTTAGGGGAACCAAAGATCAAGCATATTGAGGAAATCAGTTTTCTAAAATATGAAGAAATGTAGCCTAACAGATTTCACAATATATCACAAAGAGGTAATCATCAAAAACAATCTGCTACTGGCTAAGAAATAGAGTGGTAGATCAGTGGAACAGATTAAGTACACAACACACAGCAGTAAATGACCATAATAACCTGTTGTTGTTCAATCATTTTTCAGTCATGTCTGACTCGTTGTGACCTTATTTGGGATTTTCTTGGCAGAGATACTGGAGTGGTTTGCCATTTCCTTCTGAAGCTCATTTTACAGATGAGGAAACTGAGGCAAATAGAGTTAAATGACTTGCCCAGGGTCACACAGCTAATGAGTGTCTGAGTTCAGATTTGAACTCAGGAAAATGAGTCTTCCTGACTCCAAGCTTGGCACCCTATCCACCTAGCACCACCTAGCTGCCTGCAATCTAATTTTTTTTTTCTGGTGAGGCAATTGGGGTTAAGTGACTTGCCTAGGGTCACACAGCTAGTGAGTATCTTGTGTCTGAGGCCAGATTTGAATTCAAGTCCTCCTGACTTCAGGGCTGGTGCTCTATCCACTGTGCCATTTAGCTGCCCCCTGCAATCTAATTTTTGATAAACCTAAAGATCCAAGATTTGGGGGCAAGAACTCACTAGTTGACAAAAACTACTAGGAAAACTGGAAAGCAGTTTGGCAGAAACTAGGCATAGATCAATATCTCACACCATCTACCTAGATAAGCTCAAAATGGGTATGTGATTTAAACACAAAGGGTGATATTATAAGCAAATTAGAGGAGCATGGAAAATTGTACCTGTCAGATTTATGGATGAGGGAAGAGTTTATGACCAAATAAAAGATTGAGAGGATCACAGGAAATATAATGGATAATTTTAATACATGAAATTAAAAAGGGTTTGCATAAACAAAACTGATGCAGCCAAAATTAGAAGGAAGGCAGGAAACTGGGAAATAATTTTTATAGCAAATTTCTCTGATAAAGGCCTCATTTCTCGAATAACTGAGTCAAATTTATAAAAATAAGAGCCATTCTCCAATTGATAAATGATCAAAATATCAACAGGCAGTTTTCATAAGAAGAAATCAAAGCTATCTGTAGTCATATAAAAATATTCTAAGTCACTATTAATTAGAGAAATGCAAAGTGAAACAATTCAGCAGTACCACTTCACATCTATCAGACTGGCTAATATGACAGAAAATGAAAATAACAAATTCCAGAGGGGATGTTGAAAAATAGGGACTCTAATGCACTGTTGGTGGAGATGTGAACTGGTCCAACCATTCTAGAGAATGATTTAGAACTATGGCTAAAAGGGTATTAAACTACATACCTTTTGAGCCAGTAATACTATTACTATCCAGGTCTTTCTGACTTCTGCCCTATATCTCTATCTACTGCACCACATAGCTACTATTAGCTGATAGAAAAAATGCATGATGAAAAAAAGCAACTTACTGAATTCAATAATGTGTTTCTCCCAGAAATCATTATTTCATTTTCTTTTGGATCTCTGTTCTCTAATAAGATTTATTCTAATGGATATAATAATTATCATTCATATAGTACTATAACTCATATTTATATAGCACTCTGTGGTTTGTAAACTGCTTTGCTCACAGTAACCCTATGATATTAACCATACAAGTATTATTATTCCTTTTTTTGCAGATTCGAAAATTGAGGTTCAAATGTGTCAAATTATTTGGCCATGATCACAAGGTTACCAAGTGTCAGAGATGTGATGATTACCCAGGTCTCCTTACTTCAAGTCCCTTGTTATTTCCACCATATAACATAATACAATCAACATCTATGAAGTGCCTACTATGTGCGAGACAATATGCTAAGTATGACATGTTGCCTCTCTAGAAGAAATGTAATCTTGTGCTTTCCATGAGCACGAAAAAGGATTTAGGGCTAGATAACATTTCATATTATAACCAATAGATGTTGCTGTGAAAAAGTTGGCCAGCTGGTACTTGCTCCCTTCTATTCCCTCTGCCCCTTTTGGAAGGAGCTGGAGCAATATTCCCCAGGCCATTCCTATCTCTTCTCCAGCCCAGGGCCAGTTCAAGATGTGACTATGTCTTTGGGCACCACCTTTTCTTCCTTGTCCCCCTTTCAAGTTCAAGGTTGGAGATTCAATCAGCCACACCATTTACAATAATTAGTTTGCTTTTAATCTAGGGGAGATATAATGACCCTCATGTCCATAGGTCTCCTTTCTTTGCTATTCAGTGAAAAAATGATGAATAAAATCCTAAGACTGTAAAGCCCTCAGTTGGGATAATTCCTACATTCTGACCTAATATTTAAATTGGATGTATTTCCGACTAACCCCTGGCTTCCTCCCTTACTTTCTTAGCACAGACTTGGAGGAAGGGGGCAGCAGAGGGGGCAGAGAAGGGAGAAATAAGTATTTATGCAGTGCCTACTGTGTACCAAGTACTATGCAAAGTGCTTTACCAAAATTATCATCTTAAGTATCTAGACACATAATGCGAGCCCTCATGACTATGCATGGGTGTGTTCATGAAACAAAGATGATGTAAAGGAAACAGCTTTTAGACAAAAAGTAATGAGAAAAAAAATCTCTAACAGCTCCTATTATCAGATAGACATGGAGAAGGGAAGCTGGGGAAAAGATAGATATTCTTGAAAGATGATTATAAGAAAAGGGAATAAGTATTTATTAAGTGCTTATTAAGATTGCTGTTTTATTATTAATAAGCACTTATAAACACTACTTATTTATTTTCCCAATATATTTATTTATCTATCTTTATTTATTTATTTGTTTGTTTGTTTGTTTATTATCAGAAGCTTCAGTCCTAATCCTTCATTCCAAGGGAACTTCATAAAGCCAAGCACTCATTGTGAGCTCTTCCCTTGTTGCCACAGCTCAGTTTTCCCCTCTCTCAGAGACTTTTTATGATTAAAAAAAAAATCCCTCCTAGGGAAGCAGGGAAGGGAAAGAATTTTTACAACCAGTGTCTTTGATAAGGGCCTCATTTCTAAAATATATAGAGTCAAGTTTGTAAGAATACAAATCATTCCCCAGTTGATAAATGGTCAAAGGATATGAATAGGCAGTTTTTAGATGAAGAAATTAAAGCTATCTATAGTCATATGAAAAAAGCTCTAAATCACTATTGATTAGAGAATGCAAACTAGAACAACTCTGAGGTACCACATCACACCTATCAGATTGGCCAACATAACAAAACAGGAAAATGATAAATGCTGGAGAAGATGTGGGAAAATTGGAACACTAGTGCATTGTTGGTGAAGTTTTGAAGTGATCCAACCATTTTGGAGAGCAA